CCCGATGCGGGACTCGATCCCGGGACTCCAGGATCATGACCTGAGCCGAAGGCAGTCGCCCAACCAACTGAGCCACCCAGGCGCCCAACCCCAGTTTTAAAAGAGGGGAAAGGGAGGGCATTTTCGGTGTGCATCATTGATACAGGGATACCCAACACTGTGCTGGCCCCGCTCAGTCCCAGAAACACATGCAAAAATGACTTCAGGAGACTTCCACAGTCTATTTGCTGCCATAAAACGGAGACTCTTGAGGACTACGGTCATAAAAGTGTAGTCTGAATGATCCTTTTCCTAAATGCATTACACCTTAGGCTTCCTCATACCCTAACTCACCGGGCACGTCTTAGTTCATCCTCACGACCTTGTGAGCTCTCCGGAAATCAATCCCATGCATGAACTTATTTTAGTAGAAGGCACAGGGGCTGCAGGCTCAGACAGCCCTGGTTTCAATCCTGGCTCTATCACCCACTGGCTTTGTGATCTTAGATTAGTAATTTAATGAAGACAAAGCCCCACTTCTCCCATTTGTTCTCAGGGCTAATATCACCTCTTTCACTAGACTGAGAACACTGAAAGTGGGAAAAATCTTTTTTAAAAATAAATTTAGCACCCAGAATATTTTAATATATATTAGTGTCTTTCCTTCCTCCTCCTAGAAAAGGCTGAAAACATTCTATATTCTTCATATAGACACATATAAAAATGTTTGATAAGAGCAAGTCCCATAACATAGTCCTATGGTAAATGCTTCTATTTGCTAATCCTAAACTCACTTCTCGTTCATGAAAAAAATCCACCCTCCCAAAACCTAGTTATTAATTTTTAAATGATCATTTCTGCAATTTTAAAAAAGCAATGTAATAGGCTTTTTGAAAGTTTAAATAAATCATACCTACTGATTTCTCTTTTATTAAAAGTCTTACTCTAAAAGAACATATTTTTCTTAAGGGTTTTAAAACTGCTTTTCCAAAGATGTAACGATGTTTAAATGGACTGCTCTGATTGTTAATGTGGCTTACCCAACAACGTTGACGATAACTAATGTTCCTTTAGGTACTAGTTTCTGAATTGGGACCACAGTAGCAATACTACCATAATCTGACACAGAAGCCAAAAATGTTACATTTTCTCTCCTGAATTTCACAAATTCCTCTGGAATTCTAGGATGAACTCAGTCAGCTCTACAATTGCATTTAAATTCAATTATCAGTTAAGGCTAATTGTACACTGCCACTCCATGAATCGAGACAGCACTTATCAGAGTGTTCTATTACATTGTTAGATTATTAGGAGGGAAAAGTATGTGTGGAGGGGGAGGGAGGTCTAAGATCAAATAAGCTTGGGAAACACTTGGTTTAAACAAACAGATTCTTCTACTGCAGGAATTGTCAGAGCCTTTAATGTGCTACTATGTGCTGTGACTACTGGGGGGGGGGTGGGGGGGGGGGGGGGGGGTGGAGAGAGCCCAGAGACTGTATTATTTCCACTTAACTTGACTTCAGAACTATCTTATGGAGCTTCCCATTGAGCAAATGTTCCTCGAAACACATTCTGTAAAATGCTAATCTAGATTTTCAAATTGTCAATATGAATTGAGGACATCTTCCTCAGAAAAGACTACAGCAAAGAATTAATTTCATTTCTCTTCCTTGGGATTCCTTAGTACACTTTTGTCATGGAAACTACGTATTTTCTTCTTCATTAGTTATAGCTTATGCACATGGCAAAACCAACATACATTAGCCAGCAATTCAACAACTGCAGTTAGAACATCTCTGTACATGAGAGCCTTCTTTATAATATAAAGCTCATAAAATAAATTTATATCCGATCTGTAGATTTTCTAGGTTTTAGAGAACAGCACAAACAGAATATGGAAAAAGCAGGGAGAAACTGTGAAGCCTTCTGAAACAGAAAGAATACTGGGTGGACCCAACATATCATGCACAATACTTCTAGTGCAAAAGGCGAATAGGACATTATACAGGGAGAACCCCATAAAGCAAAGTTTCTGTCCGAATGCATTTAAACATTCCTTCCACAAATACTCTGCTAGCCCATGAACACGGGAGAAAAAGACAATGGTTCTGGTCCTCACAAATTTGCACTCTAGCACTTTTAGGCGAGTTGACACATCAATACAGTCAAGGGCCAGCTATGAGCATTTTAAAGCGTTAATAACAATTACTTACTTACTGTAAATTTCAGAATATTAATCGTTGTATGCTTTCAATACTACAGCCATCTATTTTACTGACAATGTCAACTCCTAGTGAACTACATTTACCTTCTTTAGTTTAAGGAACCCTGCAAAATTTAGATGAATTTTATCTCTAGCTGTTGAAATTCATCTCAAAAGTCGCTGCTTTGATGTCAGATGCAGAAAAAGTTTTCACGCCTGGTTCTACAACTTTCCTTTTCATTCATTTTGTGACCTTAAATAAAACCTCTATCTCAGCTTTCTACTTAGAAACTCAAGAAACTAGCCTGGAATACTGGAATGATACATTACAGACAAGAATCTTCCAATTCTGTTAGGGTGAGAGGAACCCAAAGTCTCAGCTGCAAAGGCATATAACGAGGGCTGTATCATCCTAAGTAAATTCCAAAATCAGAAACTGAAGAACTTATACCAGCTTCCAACTACTTTTTAAAGTCTTCTTATTCTTTAATATATTTTAGCAAAACATATTTAGAGTTCGCATTCCTAATTATTTACCGTATATCAGAAAAACAAGCACACACACACGCACACACCTGAGAGCTATGGTCCCTGCTGGTGTGCATCTCCACATCAAACATAATCTGCCCATCTTCTTGTGGGGAAGGGCTAGAAGAGAAAGAATTTAGCCATTAGTTTTAATTCTCATTTTGTCAAGTAAATTAACCTCCACTGGAAATTAGAAAATTAAGTCACAGCAGTATGGCTCTGAAAAAGCAGCAAATCCAAAAGTATTATCTTGACCCCAAAGAACAAATGAAATTGAGCACTCTTATTCCCAAAATGTTCTGGAATTTTGTGATGGTGATGAATTCCTTTGCAAGGATAAATTTTCTCATTTTTATTCTTTTTCCAATAAAGGTACAAAGATCTTCAAATTCAGAAACTTAATTTCAGGTTCTTTTCCTCAAAGTTCTTTCATCATTAAATAATACATCACCAGTGATTTTCAAAGCGTGAAAGCAGTTTTCAGAGTCTAGTTGGTTCCCAGCCTCCTGAGGAGCTTCCCTGGTGTAATCTGAAACCAGCCCCCACACAGGAGGGCAAGGAGAGGGAAAGAGGCAGGCCACTCCAGGGTGGTAGGTGGCAGCTTTAAACGGCAAGGGAATTTACAGATGAGGCTTGTCTTGGCGTGACAGTAAGGTGAGCAGATGGCACCGCCTGCCACATCTTACAAGTTTATACGGAGGTCTTAACTGGGTTTAGTCACGGATACCATTCAAACAGTCTCAAAGCCACATTTCTGTCTCAAAGCTGTATTCCTGAGGCAGCTTCTGGGAGCCAGGAAGGCAAGCAGAACGCACATTCCAAGGACGGGGAGGGAATGAAGAGCCTCCAATTGCCCAAGTCCAGCTCCAGGGTCAAACTGCGGTCACGTCTTCTCGAACACCTCCCCCAACACGCTTTCAAAGGGTCTTCAAGGTTAAAGTTGTTTTCATGATACTATTATGATTTGCCTTTTTTATTCTTATTTTGTCATGTCTATCATTCTTATTCTGTGTATTGTGAAATTTTCCAAAGGCTACATGATGTGTTTTATCACTACAAACCGAATGCAAAAGCGAATGAGAATCCAGCTGTTTTCTATTAAGCCAGATAAGAAAGAGATTTGCAAAAATGTAAATCAATGCCACTAGTTCTTACTAATTTTTTTTTGGTTATGAAAAAGTTATTTTTCATTTTAAAAAGTTACTCATACTGAAATGTAATGGGTTTATTATTGTTGAACGAATACATATTTTTAAATTTCTTTCAATTTCTAATATAGTTAAATATCAATATATATAACTCCCATCAACAAAAGATCTTTGGGGATCCTAGTAATTTTTAGGAATGTAAAGGAGTATGGAGACCAGAACCACCATTCTACTTATTTCAGAAATTATTTGCTTTGAGATATTTCAAAGTGAATTATATAAGCATATATATGAATACAGAACCTTCAATGAAAAGTACAAAATATATTCCCAGAAACAAAAATTTACAGATAAACTTTTAGACAAAAACACATGATCATGAACTATACTTGATATGATAGATGAAAACAACCTGGTAAGTTCTATTCTTAACTTTATCAATGATTCCTTGTGTAACCACAGCAGGTCACTAGATTTTCCACCACACACCCCACCCCACCAAATCTAAACCGAAGTAGGGATGAAAACGCTCCAGGCTTATCCTGTTCAAAGGAGTAGATGTTATATCTGTTAAAGCTACCAAGAGCATGTGTACAATGTTAACATACAGAGATGCTTTTGAACTAGAAATCTCCGCCTAGAGCACAGGAACCAGGTGGAAGGAGGCACTCTTGTTGTCCTCAGTTTACTGTCATTATGCTCACATAACACTGCTGCGTTCACAGCCAGAGAGATCAAGTTAAGGGTCAGCCTCACAGAGCCAGGAGCAGGTCAAGGCAGCAGAATGACATAGGCAAGAACCCTACAGAAGCACTGCTCTACTTCTACACTCTATCACTGCACCAATCTCACTTAGAAGAATACTAAACGTTTCACTGGTAAACGGTTTACTACTTCTAACAATATGGAATGCATCAGAGCTTCAATCCTGGCTTATATTAGAATTAGCCAGGGAGCTTTTAAAATATCCTCACATCTCTACCCCGTCCCTGATGACAGAATATGAACCTCTAGGGATGTGGCCTGTGCACTGGTATTTTTAAAAGCTCCCTGGGTGTATCTAGTGTGGAGGTTGAGAACTCCTGCAATAGGGTAAAACGCAATAAAAACACAAAGGGGTTATCTTCTAATAACCACTACAGTGACAAAAATGTATCTCTGGAATAATTTTTAAATTGAAAATATGGTTTACCCTTGAACAATGCAGGGTTTAACCCTGCACAGTTAAAAATCTGTGTATAACTTCTGACTCCCCCCAAACTTAATTACTAATAAACCACTTTTGACAAGAGGCCTTACGGATAGTCAATTTACACATATCTTGTATGTTATAGGTTTTATGTAGTGTATTCCTACAATAAAGTAGGCTAGAGGAAAAAAATGTTAAAGAAACTCATAAGGAAGAGAAACTACATTTATAGTACTGTACTGGATTTATGGGAAAAAATCCACATGGCTGTGTAGTTCAGACCCATGTTGTTCAAGGGTCACTGAATATATAAATTAGTTCTGGGATGAATATTCAACAGTCCTAAAATGTTTCCACTTACAAAAAACACTTCTCAATGACTTCAAATATAGAGATGCATGGCAACTCAAATGACATGAATTTTGAAGACATTTTAAAATGTCAAGGTGTGTTGGCACAGGAGAGTATTACTGAGCTAGAGTTGCAGGCCTTCTCTGAAAGATGACCAGGAACCCAGAGCCTAAAGATACAGAAGCTGCGGGATAGGAAAGTGTTCAAAAGCACATGCCACGCCTTGCTTCACGTGTTTAGAAACCTAACTTAAACGTGATCACGGGAAGGTAAATTCATATTCGATCACAAGTATAACTACAACCACAAGTGAAATAAGATGACCAGAAAAGCAAGCAGGTGACTTCTTCTCTGCTCGGTGACAACAGCAAGTGAACAACAGGTTAAGAGACACATTGATACCAATGATCAAGGGTCATGTACTTAAATGTATAGTAAAAGTCTTATAAACAGGCCCAGAACAAGCAGAAATCTTCAGAAACCCATTACGAGTCCCATAATATAAATGTCATAGAATATAAACTTCATTCTGAAAGACAGACGAATGCTATTGCAACTGGAATCAATGGCAAGCTGCTCAGCGAAGAGCCATCTGCTCTGCTTCTGCTTTTAACCACAGCCATCCCAGGCTCCTACGAAGCACAGGGACACAGGCAGAGATGAGACGGGGTGGTGGGGGCGCAGTGTGCCAGAGCCAGCAAACCAGGCTCTGCTACCTTGGTAACATCAGTGGATTATAAGATATGCAGGAACCTCAAACATGACTGAACTCCTCTTTCTCCTTTGAAACTTTTTCTGACAAATAAAATATGCTATATATACAATTTTTACAAAGTACAAAAATATTCAGAAGAAAAATATCCATAATTCCACCCCTTAGAGATTATCACTTTTATTTTTAGTATACATTTTAAGTGTTTCCTTAGTCTTTGCCTTGTGCATCTGCATTTTCTACATGACTAATGTCAATTAACTCTTAATTAACCAAAAGATCATCCAGTATCCCACAATGCTAACAGTATGGCTGTCACCAGTCTAAGAAGTGTCAGGCGTACCACCCAGCCCTCCGGAAAAAAACAAAGCTTACACTGCAAAATAAACGAACAACTCGGTTTCATTCCACTCATACGTATCACTGTATCCTTACTCTTTCACCAAAAGCAGCCCTTCATCAGTGGAATTACTCTTCCCAAGGCAAATGTAGAAAAATGAGGTCTGAAATAAAAGTTCCTCTGAAGAAACAGAATGGTCTTCCAAATTAACTATCTTTGCAGACCCTGGTTGGTGTTTCCAACCATGCAAATACCACTATAACTTAAATCAACCTGCAGTTTCTAGGACCCAAATGTTTACTGAGTGTCTACTACGCACCAGCACCATGACTGTCAAGGGTACAAAGGAGATGAAACATGATCCCTGCCTTTTGGAGCCTCACAGTCTAGAAGGGGGACAGATATGTAACTGGCAGAATATGATCTGTGAAACAGGACACAAAGGAAAATGGGAGAAAGTTTAATACTACAAGTAAACATTTATGCCATTGACTTTTAAACGGATAAACATAAAAAAAAAATGATACAATCTGAATAAGGAAATTGATTTAATCTAGGGAAAAACACCAGGCACTCAAGTATTTGTCAATTAGCTATCTGATTTAAATACACATGCTGCAATAAATCAGGAGTGACATTTTGTAAAAGAAAATGAAAGCAGATTTATTTTTTCTAATGGGAATTAACCTTGTAACCCATCTGTATGGATCTCACTTACCTGTCACAGTGAGAGCTGGCTCTTGAACTACTCTGTCCTGATTCATGTTGTGCATCCAAAAGAATCTTCTCCATGTCTCCATTGTGGATAGAGGATGAGGAAGGTACATGTTCTAGCCCCCCATTTTTCCCATTGCCATTATCATTGCCATTGCTGCTGTTCATGGGTAGCTCCACCCAGGAACCTGTTGGACAAGTCAGATAGCTTAAGTTAACCACAGCAGAACCAAACTCTGTCATGTGCACACAGATGCGAATGTGGTGAATTCTGATAAGAATTCGGTCTTGCCTCAAAGCAAATGCAAGAGTATTCTGAAGAAAATAAATAAGGAGCAACAGAAGTCTAAAAATACATATAGTTCCTGTTCCTGAAGTAGCTCATGCAATCAACCAATTTAGAAGAAGCTGGAACTCTACAACTAGTATCTTAGAAAATGTGTCTTTCAGCCAATTTTCTCTCTAGTTAAATCTTAGTTTATAGATGATAAGCACTTCACTGAAAACTTTGAGATTGCTTTTCAGAAAATAAATGGCTACTTTATTACTACTTATCTTTAATATTTTAATTATATATGTTTAACATAATACATATATGTATTTTTTCCCACTACTTCAGCTATTTAGTTGTATCCTCCCCACAGATAAAATAAACCTATGGCTTAGAAACTTCTTAAAAGTCATCTAAATAAGTTAACAACTGTCCTAATTAGCACAATTAGAAGCTCCTAGAAAACTTAAATCCAATCATAAAATTTTCAATTTGCGTACAAATGTGCAGCATAAAATTAATGCATCTAGCTCTTAATTAAATCCAGTGATAATACTAAAAAAAAATCTGAAAAAAGCTTTCTCTCTACCCCACAAATTAGTTTCTTCCTTTCCTTTATACCTCACCCCTTTCTATCCTCTCCCCTATGCACTAACCATACCTTGTGGATTTGTCCTTTCTTCTCTCCCACGACTTCCCTATTTCCTAGGGTTTCACTAAGCCTTCTTGGTTTTGGGGAGAAACTGCATCTGTACAGGAGACACTGAGGTTTTCTCAGGCCAACAAAGAGGGTGGAGCCACAGGAAAGGGGATGTGGCCCTGGTAATCTAGATAGCTCTTGAAAATATTTATTTATTGGCTCAATGAGTTTGCTGAACACATTAAGGTGCTTTAATTTTAATAAGAATTGATAACAGTAGCCAATAGACCAACTTCACAACAAAAAGAAACACGGGTGAATTCTTCCTAATTTCCATTCTGTATAACAAATTTTGTTTTAGAAAATATAACCAAGCAGGTTGATAGGGCCGTTCCTCCAAACTCTCAGCAGAACATTAGAGTTCTGTGGCCAATCTTCCATCAGTAAATCAGAAAAACCACCAAATGAGGCTCAAACCTTAAAATGCACTCTCAGTTAGGTGAGGACTATTCTAAATCCAAAGTGCACTCAACATCATCCTTACATGAAGGAAAAGCTCAAAGGCAGACCTGGCTAGAAATCTGACTCCACCACCTACTCTCTGCCTGTCTTTCTGAGCTTAGGTATTCTCATTTGTAAAACAGAGATATAAAAATACAGACCCCTACCTCTCAAAGCTGCTCTGAGGATTAAACACAGGACATAGGTAAAGTGCCCAGTAGGTGGGAGATGTTCAGCTATCCACTAGTTAAAAGAGCTTTATTATTTGTCAAGTACTTAGAACAGTGTTTGCTAAATAAAAACGAAGTTACCCTTTCCTTCCTTTCCCTCTAAGGCGGTCCCAGTGGGTGTCACAGCCCCATAACCACCACCAAATCTTGGGGACTGTATTGCCTACAACACAGCTGTAGGACATCTCTGTGACCTCATTCTACAGACAAAAATGGACACAGACTAGACAGAACTCAAAATGGATTAACAAGTTCAACTAGCAAAGCTAAGACAGACTTAACACTAAAGGTAATTTAATTAAATACTTGGAGTGCCTCTGGAGTATATAAGAAGTATGCCAAAAGCATCCCTAAATTTAGAGTTCTACAAAGTATTTTAACAGGAAAGAGACAGGAAAAGTGGTATATGATAAATTTTTTTTTCTAGTTTAACTGTTTTCTAGGACTGTCAAACTTATTTTAAGCCAACAGAATCAGTTCTTCTTGTACAGAAGCCCAAAGTGTAAAATAAACAAAAGACCTGAGCTGCTCTGATAAAAGAACTAAGGAACCAGGAGTTTCCCATGGGTCTCTGTGGAAGCCAGTCTTCCCTAAAATACAGTGAATGTTCACTTCAAGTAGCTGATCAAAGAGAAAACTGGCTGTAACAGTATCTTTTCCAGACCTTACTTTTTTGAAGGACTTCCAAACCAATATCTAAATTCTTCTTTCTGCATTAAAAATATATGAGCAATAATAACCTAGGAACTTGAGAAGACATAGCTGGAAAACCTCAGTAAAACCGACCTCTGTGACTGGCTTCACACCCAGCATAACTGAAGTCATTTCTACTTAAGGCAGACAATATTTATCTGGCATATATTACTAGGGTGGTTAAGAGCACAGACTGAAGGCAGACTCCCACTCTACCACTTACATCTGTTACACCCTAGACAGGTTACTTAACCCCTTAACAGTTTTCTCATCTATAAACTGGGAATAAGAATTGTATCCACCTCACACGGTTGTTAGAAGGTATTTAATGAATAAAGCATGGAGAAAAATAAGGTCACTAGTACATGGTAACTGCTACGTGCTAGCCACTATTATAATTATACTCTGTTATCTTTTTAAAAAATTTATTGCAAAAATGTGTTTCTTGAAAATAAACATAAAGTAAAAACACTCTTCCTCCCAATCTCCCATTCCTACTCCCAAAGACCACTTTTAAAAGGTTTGTATGTCAACTTGCAGAGCTTTTTCAATGAAATACAGTTGTTTTCTGTTCTTGTTTTTATAAAGAAATTGAATTGTACTATGAATATTTTTCTGTAAGCAGCGTTGGTTTTTTTTTTAAGATTTTATCTATTTATTTAAGAGAGAGAGAGAGTGCAAGCATGAGCAGGGGGAAGGGCAGAGGGAGAGGAAGAAGCAGACTCCCCACCGAGCAGAGAGCCTGATGCAGGGCTCGATCCCAGCACCCTGAGATCATGACTGGAGCCGAAGGTAGCCGCCTAACTGACTGAGCCAGACAGGCGCCCCTGTAAGAAGCATTTCTTACCTAACAACTTATAGATCTCTTTCAAGGTCAATGTATATTACCTTACTTTATTCTTTTAAACAATTGCTTTGCATCTCATCATAAGTATATACCATACTTTAACCATTATCTAAATGTCAAGGTTAACCATTACCCAAATTGTTTCTAATATTATGTTATTACAATCAGGTCTTCAATAGACGATAATTTGACAATGTGCATTAAGACACCTAAAAAGGTAGATTTCCCTTAAAAGTTCTCTTCCAGATAGATCTATAGAAATAAACATTACGGCAGAAAAAGTTATGCACACAGATTATTAAAAGCTTCATCTTTTGACTAAGATGGGAAAAAAAATAAACTTGTCTTTCTCAATAGGTGGACTACACATGCTTTTCATTACCTAGTTCATTCCTGATTTACAGCCTCAGAATTTCTTGATGTTCTAACTCTACCAATTCTCACAAAGTCCCCTTCTACTTGGAAAGGAAACAAGACAAGATAGGAGGATTGTGCTGGCCAAGCAATACAAAGTAGAAAAAAATCTGAGTGAATTCTCTTCCTGATAATCAAGCTTTAAAATTAAAAACTGCAGGCTCTCTCCATTATATTAAAAGACTACTTACAAACTGAAAAGCGTTCTCTTATGCCAGACTCTACACATACACAATACATGAGATATTTTCTAGTTTAAGTCTTTGAGAATTGCTAAGAGATTCAGAACTGCTAAGAGAATCACACTTCTACATTTTGTAATATAGTACATTGTGAAGGTTGGTCCAGTAATTGTGATTATATTCATGATTGTATGCTGTATATACTCTTTTATAGTTTTATAATCACTAGTTCAATCCTCTTGCAAGAAGGGGAGTGGGAGAGCTGAGGGGTAGAGGAAGGGAGAGAAGGAAGAAGAGTAGTTCTCATCTTTTTCCACAACTTTCCAAGGTCCCATGTATAACTCTTATCCGAACCAGGGGTAACACATTCCATTATGTCTTATGTTCTCTCCTCAAAGTCTTTATTTTATTTCAAATACTTGATGCTGGAATCCAGACCAAGAACAGTCACCAACATTCTTCTAAAAAAAAAAAAAAAGTTGGTCATTTTGCACAAGTGGATACTTACACATCAGTTACTTATGTATTCAAAACAGTATCATGAAGCAGTGAAGTTTCACATGCCATAGCCTTAAAAGCCTTCTCACCATACTGGGGAAGCAAGTACATCATGGTTGAAGATGTTTAAAAAAAAAAAAAAAAAAAAAAGGCTGTACTTCCTACATTAAATAGTAACGAGAATTTTACTACTACCTGGATTTTCCTTATACTACCTACCAAATTATATAGCATAAATGTCCTATACAAATATTCTTAATTTGTTAGTTTTCTTAAGAATAAAACTGGACTGAAAACTGGAAAAATGTCATTTTAACTTTGCCAGCAGTTCAGATATTTATCCACTGATTTGTAAGGAAAATGAACAGTTCCCCTACAATGGTAAACTAAAAAAAAAAAGTCAGAAAAAGGTTTCATTATTCCAAATATTTCAATAATTTGCTGTTAAAACTGTCTTGACCCCTGAACTGAAGAAAAATCCCAAACCACAGATAATCTGTACAATGAGTTCATCTCCTGTGTTTCATAGTTGTGCAACTTTACCCAACAAAGAACTTCAACTTATCAGCAATTTGGGTAGTATTAGATGTCTGAATAAGTTGTTTTGCCTAGTGCCCAAAAATCACTTGAAGGAATCAGTAAGGCTTCTTGTTTTGTTTAAACCGCTGTTGTATAATGAACTGAAAACACAAAAGAATAAAAGGCAAGAGGGGAGAAATTAAATATGGCACTAGCTAAAAGGTTTTCAGTAACTTTTCAAAGCTCACCCTACTCAAAATAAAATACTTTCTATCTAGATTTCCCAAAGCCAACATTTTGATATCACACACAGAGTGTTCTTCCACTTCTGTTAAGAGCTAATACAAACGTAGCAGCAACTGATTGGCCAAAAACATCAAATACCTCACAGGTCTATCAGACACAGAGATAAACAATCACAGACAGCTCAACCCCATTTGTTCTTGTTTTTGTTAAATGGTGCGCAAAGGGAACTAAAATTCCTTTTTTTCCTGTGAAATCATGTATGCATACTACCAAACAGCTAACTTGTAAGTACTGCAGGAAAACGGTGAGTACAATCAAGAAACAGTACACTAAAAAGCTAGATAGGCGGGTTACCTCTGTACATTAGAAGAACAGTATACTGAGAGACTAGGAAACACAAATAACCAGGGGCTTCTGGGCCACTAACGCGTCCTGAAAGGAACACTAGCTCATTTGAAAGTAAAAATCTCAGCTCTAGGTCCTAGCCTGCTGTGAACTTGGACAACACACTTTACTCTTGCTCTCTTTACCAGTAAATAACAGAGTTACCTCTAAAGTCTCTTCCCATTCTAAAATTCCATGCTTCTAAGAGTATGCTAAAAACGGGTAAGTAGTGTTTTAAGTGTACATTAATACATGAAACAGATAACGTTTAAAGATACATAAATTAATCCTTTCTGTGGGAAATAACATATAAATCTTAAATTCCAGAACGTAAGACACTTGAGTTTCAAAAACTCAACATTTAAGAAAAATTTACCCATCAAAAGATGGAACAGCAGCAACAAGCAATGAAAATATCTTAAAATACTCAAATTCTATCCCCATCTTGTGGGAGGGGACAGGAACTCTTTTCCCTAAAATAATTTTTAGGCCATGTTGGAACACGTCCCTCTTATGAAAGAGATTGCAATGCCTTTGAATGTCATTTAAGCATCCAAATGATTTTCAAACGATTTCATCGGGCCATTTGCTAACTGTCCCAACTGCCTCTTTCAGGAGATCAATTACAGAAAGGTTAGGCAAGAACCTTTCCAAGAAGACTGAGCTTTCAAGACAACTGGGAAAAACCTTAGGACAAGAGGTCTGAGCACCAGAATGTTATGATAAGCAACTGTAGTTGGTCGTAACTCAAATACTGCACATTAACTTCCAAGCGCCCGACTGTATTCGTGTGGTTTTAATCCCGTTCCTGAACATTTACTGCCCCAGATTCCACAATTTATGCAATCTTGGATGGTTCAAGAGGCTGTTCACAAAAGGTTTTCAGGGCACACAACTCCATCGTTTCAAAAACAAAACCAAAAAACTCACTTGGGCCAACTCTCAAAAACAAACAAAAAAAAGTAGCATAGCCTTCTCACCCCCCATCCCCAACGTGAAACAAATAACCACTAAATTACCAAATGATTTTCCTGACCAGCCTGTGTGGTAACAAAGGAAGGGAACTGGAGGGCTCACATTCTGAGCCCTAAAGGAACGCCGACCCAGAAAGGTGGGGTCACCCGGGCCAGGCCCGAGCCCCGCCGCACACCTGACCTCCCGCGCGTTCCCCGGCCGCCCCCTCCCCTCGGCCCGCCGCCCGCGTCCATCCCCCGGCGTCCCCGCTGCACGTCCCCATCCCTGCCCACGTCCCCTCCGCCGCCCGCTCCGCCCACCCTGCTCCCCGCGCCCCAAGGCCCGCCCCCCCCGCGCCCCGATTGGCTCCGCTCAGGGGCCCACCACAGGTGGGATCAGCTCGTCCCCCTTCTCCTCCCACCCACCTGCCCTCCCCAACTGCCAACCCAAGCGACCCCCTACCAAGACCTCAGGAGGGAGGGGAGACAGGGCTGGAGAAAGACAGGAGCAACTCCTCCTGACAGGTGACAGGAGCTGTCAGTCACCCGCACATCCTCAGCCTTGGCCAATGGGCTGCCTTCTCCTCCCGCCCCCCGCGCGGAGCTGGCGGCGGCGGCCGGAGCAGCTCCTCCTCCCCCCCATCCTCTTCACCGAGCCCACCCGCCCACCACTCACTGTTGAGGCCGGCTGGCGGGGGCAAAGGCTGTTCACCTTCCTCGCAGTTGTTGTTGTTGTTGTGCGGGGGCGGCGGCTGCTGTACTAAATGAGACGACATTGTCAGGCGGCTAGAAGAGCTGTGGCCGCAGCAAGACCGCCTCTGGTCTCGGGCAGCAACACAACAAGCCGAGTCCCCCGCCCCCTTTTCTGCGCCTGCGCAGTCCCTCCCCCGCCCCTGACGTCAGGGCCCGCTCCGGCCACGTGATGACAACACAACAAGCGACGGGGCGGGGAGGGGGCGTTCCCAGGCGAGCTTCAGACCTGGAGACGCGGGAGTCACGCTGGCACGCGCACCTGGAATGAATTCTTGCGTGTCATTTGTACCGGCCTGCTGGAGTGACTTATGCAGCTGGAACTGAGATAGAGGTTAGGGAGAAATGTGTAATGAGGAAGTGTTAAGATGTTCATCTGTTGGCACCCAAATCTGCACCAACATTGCTTTAGCCAATCCCTGAGCATTTCTTTTTCACTATCTACAAGGATTCATTTCTGTAATAGGTTTCATGGTGACACAAAGGAAGCAAAAACCCCGGCGCCTCCCTGTCATAAACCTAAAACAAAGCTGGCAATACATTAATACTCCAAACAGGGAACAATGTAAGGCAGGCCAGAATTTTTAGTTGTTAAAGATTTTTTAAAATTTTAAATTACAAATGTAACACGTGATCATTGTAAAAAATGGAAAATTCCAGGAAAACATACGGAAAAAAATAACCACCCGAATTCCATCGTCTAACCTATTAATGGGACTTGACATCGGAAGCCGTGTTCCCTATACGTGGGTGACAGTAAACTACTTTATATTCCTAAACGCTACACCTGTTTCATACAACCACATCTTTGTCCATTCCTTGGTCTGTGTGGTAAATATTTCTCAGTCTGTCACTTGTCTTTTAACTTTGTTTCACTCTGAAAAAGTTCAAAATTTTCATGCAATCAAACCTATTATTTTCATATGATTTGGGAACACCCTCACACCAAGATTTTAAATCTATTCCTTATAAATTTTTCTAATCCTCTTATAGGCTTAATTTTTATATTTAGGTCCTTGATCCATCTGAAATTTATTTTTGATGTGTTGTAAATTAATTAATTTCAATTTTTCCCAATTGGGTAATCAACTGACCCAACAATATTTATTAATTTTTATGTCATCCTCTCCACAGTGATTTGAAACTGTACCTTTATCACGTTCTAAATTTCCTCAAAAGCATGAGTCCACTTAAGGTCTGTCTACAATAGCTCTATTAGCTAAAAGCAAGAGAAAGTTTGTCCTCCTTTGCCTTTTTAAAACTTTTCATGACTATTCAATCACTCTTTAGATGAATTTTAAAAGTTGACTGTCCAAGATTGACCATGTGTTGGTAATTATTGAAGCTAGGTGATGGTTACGTTAAGCTATTATTCTAGTTTTGAATACATTTGAAAAGTTCCATACTAAAAATGTTTTTTAAGGATTAATTTGTCAAATCGCATTGCAAATTTTTTTAAGATTTTGGTCAGAAATGTATTCAGTTAATAGATTAATTGGGAGGATAACTGACATATTTACAAAATAGCCTTCCCATTCAGGACTATTGTCGATCATTAAAAAAAGAAGGTAAGCAGTATAGCCAGCAAAATTGAGTTTATTCAGGAATAGCCGAGGAGTTGCAAACTATGGTGAACTATGGTCAAGTCTGAAGAAGAAAGAAGAAAGGGATTTTTAAGAAAGGGGTTGGGAGGGGTTATTTTGATAAGAGTTCATTAAGGAGAGCAAGAATTTGAGGTTGCAGCAGCTTCTCATTGGCTGAGCTGTTGCCAAGCGAGAGGAAAATCTTCCTTCTTGCTGGGGTATGTAAAGTAAGCTTCCTGCTAAAGTATGTAAGGTAAGCTGTCAAGAGTGGTACCTGAGTGAGAACCCTCCCTTCATTGATTCCCTTCTCCATTTTGAATTAGATTTCCTTTATTCATTTTCACATTCCCCTCGTTTGATCAAGATCTGTCCTTGAAAGCATTGCTGCTCAAGCATTTGGTTGCTTATTTATTTATTAATTAAACATTTTTGTCTGTGTCACTCAGTGACAGAAAGGACCTTTCCTGGTATTCCTGTCCCAGGTTGCAGGGAGACCTTGAGGTGATGGAAACCATAGAAATCACATTTGCGCAACAAATAAAGTAGAAGAAGGAGCTCTCAGGTATTTTCCACTCTTAAGGTCATATCTTGTCTAGATTGTAAGCTTTGGAAATCATCTCAAAGTGTTGAGCTAACATCATTCTATCTGGTGCATCACTTCTGTAGAGATTTGACAAGCAACAAGTTTAAAAATAATTATGCAAAACAGAATTAAAAGTAACATGACAAATCCAATTTGTATAATGGTTCTAAACCATGACCCAAATCTGAAGGTAGCCAACTGAACAAATCAAAGGACCAGGGAGATCAAGTGAAATTTGTTGTAAGCAGTGTACTTGTTCCCTGATCTTGTGTAAATGAGTCTCTACCTCTCCAGAGGCATTTATCCAGGTGCAGCAGGTGGGATTGGCTGCTGCACAAATGCCTCCTTGCTCAGCAAGTAGTCAAGGGCTATGCAATTGTCCAAAACTATCTTAGCCGATGAGTCAAGTGATCAGTGTTGGGCTGCTACTGCTTTGGTGTGGAATTGGCTAGCTCTCCTAATGTTAGGGAGAGATTTCTGATCGTATGCTCACTGGTATTTACTCTAACCCGAAGAGGAAAAGCTTTCCCTACAGAGTCATGTATGCCTCTTGGAAGTTCGCATTTAAGTCAGCCATGGAGGCTCAATGGGTGGACCAATGAGAGGCTTCTGATTTGCTATGCATGTCAACAGGGGTGGTTAAATGTCCCAATAAGCCTTGGTCTCCAATTCACCAGCTATCTAAACATTCATATGCCCATGAAAATGCCATCTACTGCAGACAAAAAATGAAACCAGGTGGAGCACAGAGGACTTCAGCTAAGGTCTGGTTATTGATAGATTCATTAGCTGGAATTTTCTGATTGAAATTTTCAAGCCAGGGGTCAGAGAAATTAGGACAACATTCTGTGAGGTGCCATCCCATCCTAAAGCTGTCTTTTCTAAAAGCCCTGCAAAGAGGAGTTAGCACATTTATATTTCTCTTGAGTACAGGGGACAGATCATATTTAAGTAAGGAAAAGATGTGGGTTGGGAGGAAACTAAGGTTGTATGATTGGCAAAGATGGAGGTGTCTAGTTGAGCTAGCCTGGTTATGACTGGGGAAAGTATAGGAACACCTGGCCATAATAGCCTAGCACCCTAGGTAACATTCAAAGGCTTATGGGTTTAATCAGTAGTGGCATTTGAGACTAAGGAGATATCGGTGACAGGTAAGACCAAGAGGTCTCTGACATTATGAATAGGTTGGAGTTTCTGGTGATAGATTCAACGGTCAGAAAGATTTGCCCCTTTTGCAATAGGTTGGGAAATGGGAATAAGAGCATAGACCCACATAATATATAGATAGACACAGAGATCTTACCACTCTTGTTTTAAAAATTTTAGCTATATGTCAGGTACAAAACGCAAAAGAATAGTTGGATCCAAATTATGTTTCTGGCAAATGGCCTAAGTTAAGTTTACCTCCTCAGATGGCCAAAGTTTTTTACTAAAGTATTTGTATGCTACAAGGATCCTTTTAGAGCTATTTTGGGAGTCATTTTGTCTTTCAGGATCTTCTGCATTCCAATCTAAGAATGCATTCCATTGTCACTGAAATGTTTGGAAACTTCTCTTTTAAGGGATCCCCTTAAGGTGGATTTATCTAAAACAAAGTTTCCCCAGAATGGCCATTACAATTCCAAAGTATCCAAAAATTTACCCAGTTTTCAGAAAGGCACAAGAACCTGGTCCAAGGATCAGATGGAACCTATCTTGCCTTTGGATTCTCTAAAACATACCATGAGGGGCCCTGTTTTCCAACAGCTGTTTTAAAACACTGGGAATCATGTGTATTCCCACCTTTTGAACAGGATGGGTGACTTACCAAGAAGCTTCAACAAACAGAAACAGAAACAGAAGGGATTAAACAGAAATAGAGAACAAGTATGCACAGCAAAGTTGGAGAGCTTAGAACACAAAACAAAACAATCAGAAATTTAGAAAACAAAAGAATACTCACCAGAAAGGGTGATATTTTCATAAAAACAGATCCCAAGTAAAGTCCAAAAGCTTGACCAAAAGGAGAGAGCTTGAATTGAGAGAGACTTACCCAAATCAAAATGGAAGAAGACAATGCACCTTGTAAAGAGCACAAAGGGCTCAAGTGGGTACTGCGCATAGTTCTGGGTGTTGGTGGTAGCTCAAGGGTTTGTCTCCTTTGATCCCACTTCTAACACCAAGAAATGTCAACCATCCAAAGAAGAAGGTAAGCAGTTTAGCCAACAAAATCGACCTTAGTTCAGAATAGCAGAGGAACCCAGGACAAGCAAACCTTGGCTATTCCTAGGCAAGTCCAAAGAAAGGAGGAGAGCATCCTTTCATAGAGGAAAGGAGAAAGTTTGGAGGGGTTGCTTTGAACAAAAATTCATTGCAGGAGAGCAAGAGTTCAAGATTGTGATGTTTTCTCATTGGCTGGGTTGTTGCTGGGCAAGGAGAAAATCTTCCTTTTTCTCACCGATGTATGTAAAGTAAGCTATGACTCTTAATCTTGGGATTGAGTTCAAGCCCTGCGTTGGGCATGGAGCCTACTTAAAAAAATAATAATAATAATGTCATTTAAGCTTTTATATTTTCCCCCTCGTTATGTGTCATGGATTTCAAGAGGTCATTTCCCCCTCCTAATATGATTATATTTTTTCTATCTCTTTTTTTATATTTGATGCTTTAGTAATTGATTCACAGATATTCATAATTATCTCTTTATCATAATGAAGTGGTCATAATTTTGTCCTCAGTTCAAATTTTTCTGATACTAACATCATGATCCTGGTTTTTGTTGTGGTGGTGGTTTTTGTTTAGTTGCAACGTCGTAGTGTACCTTTACTTATCTACCCTTTTAACTTTCCACCTTTCTGAATCACATTCTATTAGGTGTGTCATGTGATAACAACAGAAAAGGTTTTTGCATTAGGATCTAATCAGAATTTTTTTTAATACAGTAGTTTAACACATTTATATCCATT